TGACTACATTTTTCACTCAATATTGAGTATTTTGGCAATTTTAGTCATTTGTGATCATATTTGAACTAAAACTGAGTACTTTCAATCAAATATATCCTCATTATTGAGTGTCCCCACCCCATTCTATGGTTGTCGTTTGTTGTCTTTTGTCTATTCCTATTGTCCCCATTAGGTCATCTCGTGGCGTGGTGTATGGCGTGTAGTGCTGGACAGCAGAAACTGAGTGAATTCAAATGAATTTTTTTACAGTGTAATTTTAATAAGTAAAAGTTAAAAAGAAATTTTGGTTTCTACACCCTGCAATTGGTTTTCCCAGAAGTATAATTAACGTATCTTTAAATGTGTATTTATTTGGTGAACTAATGCTGTTACTCTTGTTATCTAGATTAGGTCAGGAAGTACCTACAAAAGACACTATTACACTGTCGACGTTTCGTCGTTTTATATTACCACATCTTCAGGGCTCTACGGTGTTGGGTTTTATATGTAAATAAATTGAAATTGTACATAAGGACATTTAGATGTAAAATTGAGAATACTAACAAAGAGCGTTCCAAAGTAAACAGGACTTTTCAAAAATAGGTATTTCTAGTGAGGCAATTACATTCGTCGTAAAAGGACGTATTGTCAAAATTTCATGAGATTAGGTAGTAGTAGTAGTAGTCTTCCCGAAGTCGGTGGCTTGTATAAAAACGACTAGCAATAAAATATAATGAGTTTCATAGGCCTCCCTTAAAAAGTTATCTGCTAAACGTAAAAAAATAATAATTTGTATATAACGTGTAGAAAATGTCTATTATATGTTCATTTGGCCAACAACATATCTTAATTATTTATGTCCTCAAAGAATTTTATTATACTGATGGTAAATTTTAGTTATAACATACCAAAAAACGTTTACATTTTAATTAAAATATATTACTGTTCGGCATTGCTGCACTGCACTCCTAGGCAATTTGTCAACAACTGAAATTTATGGCGGGTTGCCCAGTGCGGCTGTGCTTGTGCGCCGTTTGCCCGCGAGCGCATTCTTCAACTGGGTGAATACATTTCTACCACCTCTACGTTTAGTTCGACCAAACCTGTATATGGGTAAGGCTAAATAAATATCGGAACAAGTTTTTCAAATATTTCAATGCCGACGCAGTAAGCGTAGCGGCCAAACCTGGTACATACTGCCTAGTTCTTTGGCATTCAATTGAGATCGGAAGGATTGTACAGGGTGATATAAGTATTTGATCAGTTCTGGGTTACAATTACAGTCGATAAAAATGACGAACCATCGACAAACTGTATTAGTGTTTCTTTGTTACATTTTCTATCAAAAAAAGTGTTCAACTTTGATATTTTTACATACATTTTTCTAACGCGGCTAAATGGATTTTCAGCGATTCTTTTCCTGGGCCCCGGCCACTAACGCTAACGGTTGCATTTCAAGTAAACAAAATATTTCCGCAAGGCTGCCGCACTTTTTTGACGCTAATCTGTTTTGATTGTACTTGACGAGGGCTAAATATATTCGTCTAGACGGCGAAAACGTAAATGTATACATTTTAATACGAAATAAATTACCGAGTGCCAAATTTATCAAGTCGTCAGGCGCTTATCAGCTGATACTTCTTTACGCACTGACAGATATACCCACCGATAATTCATTTAGTGCTATTTTTAACTAGTTTTTCTGCCGGCCCGCGCGCCGATATCGGCGACTAATTTATTTATAAAATGTGCGAGTCCAATTTCGAACGAAAATGTTTACGGAAAAGTGGAGTCCTACGCTCATTTTTCACGGCCGACGCGTGTCGGTGCAACGTAAAAATTTAAGTGCATAAGGTCGGGACATGTTGCCGGTCACAGAATTAACCTCCACCGCATTCGAAAGCCACGCTAATTCAAGTGAACATTGGACAGAATAGAAACATTTAATTTATCTATCACAGTCATAAATGTGTTCATGTTTGTGAAATTCACGTGGAGATCAGGCGTGCCACAGGGATCTGTTCTGGGCCCTCTTTTATTCATAATGTTTATTAACGACAATGTCATCGAATCTTAGTGGAGTGCACTATTTGCTATATGCTGGTGACAAAACTTTTACCGAAATTAAGTATTAAGTCAGATTATGCAGTTCTTCGGAAAGCAATAAACGAAATAGGTGGCTGGTGCGTTAAAAACAAATTTTCAAGTCAGAATTCCTTCTTGGAAAATCATCAAAATATTAATTTGAGACTTTGGCATCGTGTTTGATACTAAATTAACTTTCACAAAACATATGGAAGTAGTTCCGTCATCACCTATAGAACTTTCATTCGTTCTAAATGTGATTATTTTAAAAACTCTTGAGCGGATCATAAAACTCTAAGACTGAAATTATTATCATTTGCAGTAACAATGCTGAAATCTTTGTACACAATATATTTAAATTTATAACAAAAGAGGCACAAAATGGCGATGTATTTATTTCTGCAAAGGCAGCTGGCATATCTGTGGAAAGTTCCATGAAGGTGTAGAATACCCCACACCCATAAATATGCTTGGTGTGATGAAAGCAACAAAGGGCTCCAAAGACCTGTACCAAAGGGATAACGTTTAGTTCATGCTAGATGAGAAAATGGTTTTATACTAAACGCGAAACTAATTTTTAAGTCAGGGGACTATCATTATCAAAATTACAAAAAAAATGGATACAAACGAACTATATGAAATTTGCCAAACGCGCCAATTTTCAGCGAAAATGTTAAGTTAAATTCCACATTTACTTTATGTGCTCAACGTGTTTCATTGTCAGTACAAATTTAGAATTCAAGGATGTAAGATCACGAAATATTACCGGAATTTAATAGTTTATCACCGTATATAAAAGCCATATTGGCTCCTGTCACCATTAAAAACATACCTCAAATTCTGTAGTAGATAGGTAGAAGAAAAGTAGTTCAGGGACTTGATTATCGAGAAAAACTGAATGGCGAAAACCGCATCTCGATATTTTGATTCGTTAAAGAGATACAGGCCGTTTTTCATTTTGGATCTTTTCTCTATTTAAATTAATGATATTGAAGGAAACAACTACTCCGCGATCTAGTATCTCAACCATACATACCTGCAATATCGAAAAAGACAGTTAAGATTGTTCGCCAGCTGAACCACCAGACATATACCGATATACCTGACGACCAATCCAGGTGTTATGGCCCAAAATGGATATACGCGATGCAGATCAGAAAGCTACAAGTCAGGTGTCTCACCTTCGGCATATTGATAAGTCCGAAATTGATATACGTGTGGTGATTTAACTGACTGTTCGTCCTACCTGCCTTTTTAGATATTGCAAGTATAATTCACCGCCGGTCGGGGCACTAGTCCGCAGAGTAGTAGTTGTTTTTTCTATTTCTTGTTACAATGAAACTGTGCCATGGATGTGTCTGACATAACCATGGAAATTGCTTGCATAATAAAATAGTTGACTGACCAATAATGATTTATATTCGTTATTTATATTCCCAATTACTTTCATATTCATCATATCCAAATCTCCAACTATTTTCCTTCAACGAAAAAGGGCGTTCGCCTTCTACCGCTCCCAGCATTTCCCACGAATAAATCACGTTTCGAACAATGCCAAAGTAGAACACAATAATAGGAAGCCGGGCTGTTTATTCTAGGAGCCATTAGTAAGTAAATCGAGTAAATAAAACAATAAATTTTCCGATTACAATGAAGTCATCGATACTATAACGGATAACGGACATGGGTTTTTTAATCGTATAAATAGATGCGCTCGCTTTCAAACATCCTTCAACCGCCTCTTTAAAAAGCCAATGGGTAGAAAAATAATGCTTGCGGCGGCATGGCGCTATTTCCGGTGGCTTGATGTTGAAACAGAAATCAAAACATGTCTGAAGTCTGTAATTTCTATTCTAGTCAGTATTAAATTATTAGAAATAAAAAAACGTTCACGTCATCTATTGGCTTTTGTTAATATCGCTGATGAACAATTCGAAATAGTTTTTTTTTTATAATAATTGGAAAATAAAAAATACCCTCACTGCCAAATATAAAAAGGACTCCTAGAGAAATCGCTACATATTGAAAATATATGGATAAGAAAGACCAAATGGAGCACGCTTTCAGACTTCTACATTTCAATTTGAAATATGTTCTTAGGGGCAAAACTATACGAAAACATGATTTTATAATTTTTGTATGTGCAATAAAAGTAGTACCCTAAATATTTATAGGGTTTTATTGGCAGGATTAGTTTTTAGAAGTATTTCCATGGCAACATTCACACAACTGGCCGAAAGTTTAATAACAGCCTTGATTTAACATTTAAACCGTTTTTATCTGTTCGACTTTATTCCGAACATTACAATAACACAAAATTCTCCAGTTGTTCACACTTCCAAAACGTGTTCGAAGGCCCACAAACACTGGTCTATATCGAATAATAATTCATAACTTCAACAAACAAATAAGTCGTCTTAATAAATATTTAAATATAACCGGATCGCTGATAGCCGTGATTTAATGGCTAGAACGGCGGTGATGAAATATGGTGCCAGATTTTCATTGAAAAAAAATAACAGTTAACATTGTGATCGATCTTGGAATATGTTTTAAATGTTTATGATACTTTCAATTGTTCTAGACCTTGACGTGACTTTCTGACAAATTGAATTTTAAATATTACAAACGTAAAACATGCAAACACACAGACAAAAATGGTATCCACAAGTATAAATTCAGTAAATATTAAATCAGAAGTGGGATTTAAAAAAATTATAATTCTAGTAATTGCCAAATGTATTGGTTACGTTAATCAGCAAAATCAAAAGATTAGTGAAATTTTTAGAATTGTCAAAAAAAAAACGTAACGAAAATTTCTAATTCTAACGCTAAATCGGCAGTATTGTAGAAAGCGAAACTTCTGTGAAGTTGACAGTTTAATATATAGTTTAACTTCTATGGTTAAGTTATTATCAATATTTTTTTAAACTTACTGGAAAATTGTGGTGTGGATATTTTGAGCAATGTTGGGGTCGTCTGAGTCCATCCATAGTTCGCCAGCTCCAAGATGGCTAGATCTTCCAACCTGAAAAAAAAAAAAAAAACATGAACAAATTTACAATAAATTAAATTTTATATTGCTGTTAAACTTGTTTTAAATTTACCAATTTGTCAAAAAATTTTCACCATTCGCTACATTTGTGGCACTTTCTTTACATGCTACAATAATCAATTAGGTATTCAATTTATTGGTCAAGTGTGGGCGACATATAACCTATAAAGTAAGTCATATCTTAAATGTCATTGCTATTCAATGCCTACCGGCCCATAACATTGCTTTGTAAGTTACTGGCAGAGAGCTATCTACTAATTTGTAGATATGTATTATGAAAGGATGACTAGTGTGGCACTATACAAAATACATTTTTTGATTAACGGTTATTAAGTAGGTACTCTGCGAATATCTTTAGTTAGTACACAATGTCCCAAAAGTCTGAATGCGCCTGCATAACTCACTAGGACAGCGAGATCAAAAAGGTGACCTCTATATAAAAGTTGTTGAGATTATCGGAGCCACCACCTGGTGACCTTGGAATTGGTCTTGAACGTTATTGAAGGTAATTTGAAAGTAAAATTTTCACATTTTTAGCCTGACAAGTTACCTATTTAGGCGTACTCATAATTTTGGGACACCCTGTGTATTAAATATTCTGCATTTCTCAAGCAGTTTTTGATTTGTTCTTTTTTTTTTGAGTATTTTGCTATACTTTAAGAAAATAACAAAAATACTAAATAAATAAATAAATTATAAACTGTCAATTTGACAATTTTAGTAAAAATAGTATTTTATCTGCTCCGACTATAGTAAATAGACATTAATACATTGTTTTTAAGGAGGTAAGTGGACTTTCGAGTTATAAATTTTATGAACAAATAAATAGAAATATTTGATGAACATTACATTTTATTAATTATTATGAATGAATATTTATAGTAATTGTACAGTTATTACAATTAGTAACATTTATAAAATCTGGATAATTATTCCCCTCGTGGACTGTATCTTTTTAAAACTTGTATATATTAGAATGAACTATACAGACTTATCTTGGCAAGATGTTATATATCGTGAGCGGTAAAAATGTGGAATATATTTATTTAAAAATCAGATGTTCGTTATTTGAAAAATCGCTCGGACCCGTCGAATTATATTCTTAGTTGCGCATTTTCTGAAGCAATTTTCATTTATACAGGATGGCCCAAAAAAAATTATAAAATCAAGGCCAACTTTTTTAAATGGAAACCCCACTTTTTTGTATTTTTATTCAATTCTCCATGGAATTATGATCATTTTTTATGTAACATAACCTATACTTATCTTTAACCGTTTTCGAGATAATGGCGTCTGAATATAGAATATGGAAAATTTTCAAAAATTACCCTGAGATTTACCCTGCTGGTTTTAAAATAAAACCACGTTTACTTTTCCATCTTAGATTTGTGTGGTTCACAGAAAGTTGCTTCAAATCAGAAAAATCCATAAGTAATAAGTTAATAAAGTTAGTAAGTTAGTTAGTAAGTTAACAAATTAAAATTAAGAATTAAATTCATTAGCTGTGCTTAAATATTTGAAAAACACAAAATGTATTTAGCAGAAAGTACACCAGTTCCCACTGACTTTGACGTTATAGTCCTTACGTAATGAGAGTAATTTTAGGGCCTACCCGTTTCGGCTCAACATTCACATTTTTCTCAAAATGATTTGACCGCTCCATTTCAGTCAACGGAGGTTCAATATTATTATCTGACTGATCCATTAAAACAGCATGAAGCGATGTACTATTAGAACCTGGAGTTGAACTGTCATTGTAAAGAATCCTGTTGGCTATTTCATTTTAGTTATTTAAACTGTCAGCAACATAACTTTCTGTAATTATTGAATGGTCTGTATATGTTTCAGGATGTATTATATTTCTTGAGAATTTCTAGGTGAGAAACAGAACCCAGACGAGAAGTAATTGTAAACGTACGTGACATACCATTTTTAGAAACTGGAACTGTAACAACGATGATGTCATCGAAATTTTTGAAATTGACGTTGTCCAAAGTAAGTTTGCATAATTGATCAGAACGGCATGCTCCTGCAATGCCTAAGATCGTCACTACCTTCATTATAGTCTGTTTGAAAATGAAAGAGAGTAATAAAACCCCGGTAATATTTGGTAATATTTCGTTTCAGGTAATTATCGGGTAACACTAATGCTAACAAAAATGACAGGGATTGGAAAATCGACTATCTACAGACTTTTAAAGGAAACAAAAATGAACAAGATACTGTAAATCCCCCAAAATCATCTACAGGGAGGTCAAAAGTCGTTATAGATGATTTCTTCAAAAATGTCATTCGCAGAAAAGTACACTCATTTTATTTTAAAAAAGAAATACCAACGCTAAACAAAATTTTAAGTGAACTTTCAGAGGACAACGATTTGCCAAAAATCAGTAGAAGCAAATTATGGGCCGTCTTACGAGAGTTGAATTTTTGCTGGGAAAAGCAAAACAGGAAGTCAGTTCTTATCGATAAAGATGAAATTATTTGTTGGCGAAGATCCTACTTAAGATCAATTAGAAAATTCCGTGACGAAGGGAGGAATATTTATTATCTAGACGAAACTTGGGTCAACGAGGGATATACTGTAACAAAAGTATGGCAAGATAAAAATGTAAAAAGTTTTCGACAAGCATTTTTGGATGGACTTTCAACAGGGTTCAAGGCACCTTCAGGCAAAGGGCGAAGATTAATAGTGACACATATAGGTAGTGCCAGTGGTTTTGTAGATGGCGGTTTACTTTTATTTGAATCTAAAAATTCAGGTGACTATCACGAAGACATGAACGCAGATGTTTTCGAATAATATTTTACACAGCAAAATTGCAACTTTTATGTAGCTTTGTTTATGGACACCTTAGAAACGACAAAATCCAAACAACCAAGGCGACTTTGCAAGATTTCGAATAGTGTCAAAATGAATTGATTAAGAAATGTCAAAAAATAAAACCTAATACTTATTTCATGAATTTTAGGTATGTGTAGAACACGTCCCATCAAAATCAAGTCAGCAAATAAGAAAGAAAGTCGTGCAAATTTCATTAGTTCAGTGTTTTAATTAAGAAAATTATAAATTTTACATTTTCATTTGTATCTCATAGACGAAATTCGTATTTTCAGATTAAGTGAAAAAAATATGGCTTGTATATATTTCCTGTAAGAAAAACCTCACTTTCGCACGGAGTTAAAGCAGAACATCTACTTCTTATGATTTTTTGAAGTAGACAAAAATGTTAATAAAAATAATCCTTTCTGATCTCTGCAGCGTAGTTTATTTACTTCATTTCTAAAAAAAGTTTAATTTTGTGGCAAGTACTCAAAAAGTAAAAATAAAAACTATTATTTAAAACCTATAGATTGAATCTAAAATTGGTATTATAGGTACAAAGAATATCAAGTCACTAAAATACCTAAAATTGTCAAATAAATTAGAACTATTTCCAATTTCTTGTTAAATTTATAGGGTATAAAATTGGTAAAGGTAAAATAGGTTTTAATATTATAAGTAACTTTACACAGTACGCGCCTAAAGTATGGAATAAATTGAGTAAAATCGAAACAAATTTTTTTTGGGAAAAATCCTCGAACAGGTCGATTTTTAATTTAAAAAATACATATTTTAGCATAAAAGGCGATTTTCAACCATCATTTGTTTTCGAGTAATGACGTCATCGACATTTTTTTTTAAATAGTAACAACCCCCTTTTTTTTCTCGATTCTGAAAAATCGTTTCATTGTCGATCCGACTGTATTAAAATTTGCCATCTTACATAGAAAAGTTTTCAAGTAAATGACGATTGATTGTTAGAAAACCCAAATCAATTAAAATAAAGCAAAAACGTTATCAAATTTAGTTTTTCGAAATGCCTGGAGTTTTTTTGGATCACGTAGGTGTAAATCTTTACAAAGTGTCATTGCCATACCGACTTTCTAAGTATTGTAAGCGATATAAAAATTATTGTCGAATTTGAAGTATTATGGCACATTTAACTGTCACACAAAGAAATGAAACTTTAATTCTTATCGGATGCGGGGATAAGACTAGAACGCAGCAGGAATTTTGCGATTTATTTAATGAAAAACATCCAGATCGCCGCATCAGCCAATCAATAGTCAGTAAGATAGAATCTAACTTTAGAGAAATTGGCAATGTTGTAGATATTCCAAAACCTGGACGTCCAAGCGTTAGTGAAGATCACAAATAGAACATTTTGATAAGTATGGTAGATAATCCTCATAATACACGATTGGTTGCATTAAACAATGAAATTAGTTAGACCACAGTGCTACGTATCCTGAAGAAGGAAAAATATCATCCCTACAAAATTCAACTTGTGCAGGAACTCAATGAAGACGATCCCGACCGCCGCTTACACTTTTGTGAAATTATGATGGATTTATGTCAAGTAAATAGAGATTTACACCGTGAAATACTTTTTTCAGACGAGGCCACGTTTTGTCTCAATGGTACAGTGAACCGTCAAACTTGCAGGTATTGGAGTCGGGAAAATCCTCATTGGATGGCAGAGTCTCATATCCAACACCCACAGAAATTAAATGTGTGTGCTGGAATTGTTGACAACAGAATACCTAGTAGGGCCTTTCCTTTGAAGGGACCCTTACAAGAGAAAGATATTTAGTTTTTACAAAATGACCTTGTTCCAGCGCTTGCAGTAATTTTTCCTAACGATAATGACCCTGATATTCCTGATGACACCAAATGGTTTCAGCAAGACGGTGCACCTCCGCACTATGCGCGCCTTGTTCGAGATTTTCTGGACAATTCCTAGGAGATGGATCGGCAGACGAGGACCGATGGAATGGCCCGCGAGATCCACAGATCTTACACCCCTGGACTGTTTCTTATGGGGCTACTTAAAGTCCAAAGTGTACGTTAATAGACCACATAATTTAGAAGAACTCCAAAATTGTATTATAGATGAAATACACAGAGTTACCCAAGAAATAATTCATAA